TGCAACCAGGAGCGCTGTCTTAATCGACAGGAAATTAAGCTCCACTGATTGCAGAGGCTCAAAGGGAGCACTCTGCAGGGCAGTTAGAACCACTGAGAGGTCCCAAGAGGGAACGAGAGGAGGGCGAGGAGGATTCAGTCTCCTTGCTCCTCTCAGGAACCTGATGACCAGGTCGTGCTTTCTCAGAGACTTACCTTCGACTGCGTCGTGATGTGCGGCGATAGCGGCAACATACACTTTCAGGGTGGAGGGAGACAGCCTTCGCTCCAACCCAACTTGCAGGAAGGAAAGCACAACACTGATCGGGCATTTCTGGGGTCTTATTGGCTAGAAGAGCTCCAGGAGACGAAGAGGTTCCACTTCAACACGTAGGCATGTCTAGCACTCTAGAGGAAGTGATGGTTGCCACCACCGCTGGTGGTAGGGTACTCAAACCTACCTCATCCCGTCCAGGAGCCACACGTGGAGCTTCCAGAGATCAAGACGAGGGTGCCATAGGGTGCCCCGTCCCTGAGAAGGAGGCTTCCTCAGAGGGATTGGCCAGGGAGGTGCTGTCGCGAGGAGTACAAGTTCGGAGAACCAGGTCCGGCTGGGCCAATGAGGCGCAACCAATATGACCTGCTCCTCGTCCTCCCTGATCTTTCACAGGGCCTTTTTAGAAGGGAACGGTTCAAGACGCGCAGGTCCAAGATTGGTCAAACCCACCGGTTTTCTTGGGTACATTGAGGTCGGGGCTGAAGAAGCCGGACTTCATTTCGGCTGGAGGAGTGGTCTCGATTGTACCCTTCGCCAGTAGGGTGACGACCTCCGTACACATGACAGGGGCATTGCCACCCACCACGGTATAGCGGATTCCCCGGAGCGGGGAGGAGACCGTGCGAACTGAATCGCAAAGCCGAGCCTGATGATTCTCGTGAGCCAGTGGGACAGATTGGAAGCTCCAAAACTGAACCAGTGGGGTCATGTGAACCACAGACGTACCCACGATGAGGCAGCGAGGCGGAATGACCGGCCCAGACGTGGCAGGCGGAGCGTCCCGATGTGGGGGCACGGTCATATGGCGCATCCTGACAAAGGAAGGCCAGGGAAGGACCAGCGTTCCACGGGGGCCTGCTCTGTCAGGGGTCTGGCGACAGAGGGGGACGAGAGTGGCGAGGCTCATAAGCGGCGCGCACTGCCATCCGCGCCCTCTGGGGGCTCAGAGATGGTTCTTTGGAGAAGAGGTTCTCACCCGGCCCTCCACCGGGGGAAGGAGTGGCCCTGCAACCACTTCCTGAAAGAACTGCAACCCATGTCTGAGCTGCCCGTAACGGGACTGGTACGGTCAGAGGCGCCTTCCTGCGACCACCTCCACGGCGCGGCCCGGTGCTGCCGGGGCCGGGCAGGAGGGGGCGGAAGTCGCAGGAGGGCGCGTTCGGCGGCAAGCGGACTGAGGCCTCTGAGCCGGCGGCTAGGTGGCAACAGCTGGCCGCGGGGTCAGAACATGTTTGGTAGCCTCAGTCTGCTTCTGGGCGGCCGAGAACTGTTGGGCAGAGTCCTCGACCGCGCCGCCGAAGAGGCCAGCCTGGGATATGGGGGAGTTGAGGAAGCGGGTTCGCTCAGCCTCGCGCACATCAACCAGGTTAAGCCAGAGATGTCTGACTCTTGGATGAGCCCAGAATCAGCCCAACCCTCGTGCATGTGTAACATATACGAGGGGGTATACGTGTTAAATAGCAGATGAATATGGCTATAGAAGGTTAAATAATGATTGGGCTACAGAAGATAGAGTTCGTCTCAAGGAGGTTTTGAAAGGGTAAATAATAACACGGAAACGGATCATTTAGATTTGGTGTTGGTACCATGTATTAAGTGAAAACAAAGACAGACAGACAATAACAATACCCAAAATAATTCCAATCTGCAGAGAAGTTCAGTAATTCACAGGAAAAAACTAAACAAAATACAACTCAGGAAAACTGGAGAGTACTCAGATTAAAGACAGTCCACAACACACGATTGGGCTATATTCTTTGTTCATGAGAGATGAACACCATGTCCAAATAACAAGAATGGTCCGTGAGACGCGAATAGTCCATGAGCCAGAGCTTAGTGAATGGCTGTGTGTGTGTAAATGAGAGTGGAGGGGGTGAGCAAAGCTGCACAGCCTCCTACCAAACCCACAGGGGGCGATGATGTTGTTGGGGCAGGTTCTGTTCCAGGTAATAATAGCTCGCCATCAACTGGCCCGCAACTGGTCGCACCTGGCCTGTATTAAATAAACAGGACCCATGGTTTAGTCACTACTCATAATATAATTTACCTACTAGCTAGTTTTATATTTTATGTGTACACAATATTATTCAAAATACTGCATAATCAATTGTCATAAATATATTAAATGACAATAACAAAATCGTACAAAAATACTCAAATGCATGGAAATAAAACCCATAAATATAAGGATTATTTACAACATAACATTCCATTCAATACAATTGATAATCTTGTCATTCAGTATGTAAATGAACCATTTAAACACTTAAAGCCATAGCATTGAAAACAAAGTGCTAGGTTTACATTATAATTCATTAAACCCAATAGAAACTCCATAAGAGCGAATGGGAAGCTAATACCAGCCACCACAGTCCATCCATATAAATACATTGAGATGGCTAATGCTGTTAGCATTAAGCTAGCGGAAACCTTCATTATAATACATAAGGATGCCAATAAGGATGCCAATGCTAGCAACATGCTAGCGGACACATCAACAAACAGACTCACCAATTCCCGCAGATATTCGACACACCGCGGCACCAGTCAGCTTCTAAAGACAACGGTGGTGGACACTACAAATACAGAATCGCATGCTAGAGTCAACCGAGCATTTAAGATGGAAAATAAGCGAAAATAGCACTGTTTGTGTAAAGACGTACCGAGCGCAGCTGCCATGATTGGTTGAAAGCGTTCACCGAGACCACCATGTGACTCCCGCACGAAGACGAGAATGAAGGGTGTGTTCGGGCGACTGGGAAAATTGGGACCATGGAATTTTACCCTGGGTTACACATGTCATTGAGCACCCTGAAGGATGGCAATAACATGCAGTGAGGCGGCAGCCTTCCCCGCAGCTCTATAGGTCTTTGCCACCAGAGTAGACAAAAAACCGACAGGCATTGGAGGAGTGCTTAGGGTCTCCACGCCAGGTGAAGGCGCTGTGGGGACACAGATGTGTTGCCACAGAACACTCCACGGGGGGAACCCCAGTGTACCCTTGGCCGTGGCCTCTGCGAGGGCAGAGAAGGCGGAAGAGGCCGCTGAGCAGTCGCGAAACGACAAAGGACACCTTGTGATGCGGCGATATACATGATTTCATCAGCCGGGGAACCGAATGAGATGCCAGGCCCGCCGGCGTCCTCTGACGGGGCTCTGGTCAGCGAACTCATTCGGAACCGCGCTGGTTGCAATGTGAAAGATGGGGTGTGGACCGAGGATATTTCGTCGGTTTAGTTCCAGACCTGCCGTCTTAGGTCAACCTGGCCACCAGCCGAAGTATTATCTCGCGTGGAGAAAATAGATTGGGGTGTGGATGAGGGGACTCTCGCTCTATTGAGCTCATCGAGTCTCGACCGTTACATTGCGATGGTCATGTTCCTGCTGGGAGAACGTGACGCATCCACAACAGCGCTCGTGCCCATCAGCTGAATCTATCAGAATACCGCATTCAGAAATACACGGGCACATCGTCTTTAGAAAGACGTGCCACGTACACGCTCTTTTTGTGAGAGAAAAGCTTGCAGCAGTGCTGAAGCGCCCAGAGAGAAACACACACGCTGTTCAGTTCAGCAGGCAGGAATGTGAAACTCGCTGGAACTCGCCATCACACCGACTGGAAGCTGCTCGTCTAGAAGATTCTCGAAGATAGCCTGCAGGAGTGAAGAGAACTTCTTGGCTCCGAAGCGAAAACATATCTGCATATTGCGGCGTCCTTCCTTTTATACCCACGCGGCGGGGCGGAGTTACGCATTTCCTTGGCATTTCCTTGCCATTGGCTCGTTTTATTTCTTTCGAAGATGAGAGGCTTCTAAGCGAACCCCATTTCGTCGTCATTCGACGTAACTCGAAGTGACAACGAAAGGGAACTTGGATTTGTCTAGCAAGAAACGTTAAATAAATATTGAAATTCAATCAACTAAATTTATCAACCAAAAAAAATAGAATGTGTTACGGTGAATTTGATTTCACCAAGTGCAACGTGTTCCTGTATCCTGCAAAACATTCCAATCAACCAATCAGATTTGAGAGACAAGTTTCCAGTTTCTGTCAAGTTTAGGCTTACAACAAGGGTTAGGTGCTTCTACATCAGTGTTATTCATCTATCATTTCCTGATTTTAGGGATGTTATGGGTAGAGTTAGGTTATATGGTTAGGACTAAATTTTCATGATCAACAAAATATGTTGATCCAGGAACATGCCTTGCTCAGCAAATATATAGCCCTCATTTTCTGTGCATCCCTGTCTGTTCTCATTTCAATTTTAAGTTGGTTGTGTATATATTGTTCTCATTTATCCAGTGCTCCTGTATTTCTGTTATTTAAATTGTATTAAATAAAGGGACTGCAGAATTAGATCCTGCCTCTTAACTCTCCTTGCTGCAACCAGTGTGACACCTGCATTTATGCTTGCATTATGTAAATCATATTCCTTACATTAGATTCAGTATCAGCTGTGCAGAGACCATGTTTCTATTGCACTATGTATGCTGCTCCAAAAAAGTCCAATATAGAATCGTACAACTCATTCTCCTTCTGACATAATGAAAGCAGTATTCTGAGAGGTCAGCTGTCCTATGAGGTCACTGATAGACGCAAAGACACACTGAAGCAGCAGTTTACCACCACAGAGGTCAGTATGGCCACTTAAGTCAAGCTCCTCTGGGTCATCTTGTAGATCATCTTGGTCCAAGCTGCCAGAGAACCGGCTCATGACCGACTCCAGTCGCTCCAGTTTAGGAGGTCTCAGAGACATTTTCTCTTAACGGTTTTCGTCTACAAAAACAATGACAAATTATATATTTTTTATTTAACAAAGGATATACAAATACAAGACCAATGTATAAAGAATTGTATAGTGTGTTTGTGATGATACAATACTTAATACAATATTTTTTGAAGAAATTTTTTTTTAAGTTTTTATTTTTTATTTCATTAGTTAAAGATATTTGCTCAATTTTGATATAGAAGTACCATATTGCAATTGTGTTTCTGTATGTAAAAAAAATTATAATCAAACAATTAGCATTTGTTTCTATTACCATCTACTTAATGCAGACACCCCTTCAAATCATTTAGCTGCATTTCTGTGTTTTTGTCTGCTAAATATGCATAAATACCTCATGTTCAGATTTTTTTTCGGTCACTGATAATTGCCCCCATATGCGAAATGCATGAAATATGGATTTAATATCAGTTGGCTGGTTGTAGCACTTTGGTATTTATATGGGGGGGATCTGTTAATGAGGGGCTCCTCCCCTCTCTCCTGACCGGCTCCAGAGCCAATGGCCCAAATGCAAAGTGACAGACAAGTCATCAAAGAACATGGGGATGTAATGTCTTGTGATCCCAGAAAGGGTGACAGACATTGATTTTTTTGCAACCTGACGGTACATGTAATGATAAAAGAAAGGAAAGGTCAGGGTCAAATGGCATGAAAGTGAGGAAATGGCAGGATATCACGCAATGTCACGGGCCACAAACCTTTTCCGCAACTAAACAATGCAAGAAACGCATTTTATTAACTTTATGACGTGAAAACTGCGTTATGTGAGGGTATGTTCATTTATATAAAAAATGTAGTTAATAAATAATATTGCCTGTACTCATTTAAAATTATTTGAATATGCATATTGCAACAAATGTGTTACTTTTGTTGCATGTTTATAGAATTTAATTTATCCATTCAATTTCTCTCTCAAATAAAAAAAAAATTAAATCCAAGGTGAGATGTTAAAAAGTATAACAAGCCAGTGATAATAAGAGAATATTTTGTCTTTTCACTGCACTTATTTTATGCCTGCTTCACATTTTTACTTATGAATATTTATACTTTTCATTCCAATTTGTGTCAAAGCGAGAGAGAAAGCAAAAAAGAAACAGAGAGTATTTTGTGCTTCATTTCACCTGTCATTGCTCCAGTAAGACTGAGAATCTTCCTAATGGCCACGGCAAGGGGCCAACGGCTGCAAGGAGGGGGCAGAGTCAAACACACTTGTGATTTCCTCTCCCAACAAGACTGTGGGCAGCGGGCAAAGGTGTTACTTCTTTAGCTAGAACAGGTAGAACAGACAAATCACTAAACTTATCTTGACATGAGCCTACTATTAAAATATGCTAATGTTACATATTTAAATACATATTTATTAATAAACATATTTTTCAACACAATTATTGTTATTATTCAAATTATGATAATTTATTTTGTAATACAAATTTTGTATTAAGAAGAAAAAGATTGTAGCTGTATATATATATAATGCTCCACAAACATAGGCCTACTGTAATTGACCTTTAGTTATTTGTTATACTTCTGTCACTGATTTAAAAAATATTTAGTCTGATAAATCCTCAGTAATAACAGCTAAAATTTATTTTGTTAAACTTTGTTATTGTCTGCTCAAATGCCAAGTTAAAAGAAAGTGTTTCCATTACATCAACTTTATCTGTATCATTGTGGTCATTCAGGTAATATAACATATTTACTGCAATACTCTCGATATGAGAATCACACAGGACAAAGAGTTTACTGGATTAGATTGGATCTGTGGGGGATCCAAATTCATACATTTATTTAGGCCACAAATTGTTCATGATAATAATCGCATGTGTGACAACCGCAATGTAAATAAGGTTATTAGTTTGTGGTGTAATTAGACAGGATGTGAGTCTCTATTCTATGACAGTACAAACGGGACATAGGCAATTCATTAAGCAGGTAATAGAGCACATTATTGTGCAAATGTTCTGCTTCAGACTAAATCAATCACCACTATAACTGCACATTCTTTCATTAAAGTGAATTACAATGCTGAAAGAGGGGAGAAGACCAGAGCTTGGAACCGCAGGAAGGCAAACTAAAGAAAATATCTAAGTTCTTACCTCGTTTTGAAGCCAGTGGAGGAGGAACACTTCTTCTGATTCTCGAGATTACAACAGGTTGTAACTACTCTGCTTACTCAGTTTTAATCTCTGTGGTAATTCAAATAACTGGTTTCTGTTAACTTGAGAAGTTTCAGTGCTGTTACCCTCTTTGAATTATGTTAGCAGTATGACTGGACAGTTCCATTCACAGCTCTTACAATGTATCATTGCACCATAGGGGAACAAGGGAATGGTTTCACTGCATGCTCAAAGCCTCTATTGATAGTGAAAGCTCTGCCACTGGTGAGAGTGTTTGTGTTTGAAATGTTTGTACCAGGAATCAGAGAGTTACAGCTAATCTCTGTGATGTCATCCCTCATGAGATGGGGACTGGCGTGGCAGAGCTTACTGGCCGCAGTGGTATTTGTGTTGCTGACTGATTAGTGATGTGTCAGCGGTTCAAGAGGATAGTTGGACAATCATTATTACAACATGTTGGCACCATTCTGAAATCTTAAATACTGTATCTCACAAGGTAAACTAGCCTTCACGATGATCCATAAGAATAGGTTTATTTAAAATTGCAAGTATAGATTACGCCTAATTTTTTCCTGGCCTTTATCCAATTATAAAGCCAAACAGAGAAATACAAATTACACCGTGACAGAACATAAAGATCTAGGCTACAAAAACACAATTTTAATAGGTTTAAATTTTGATTAGTCACAAGTTGTGGCCCAAATAACGCACCATACACTTATACTATGCACTACTGACGTAAATGTTGTAAGGTTATTTTCTCATTAAACATCTGATCCATTATGGAGTCTGATCCATAATCACTCTTGATGTTGTTGACTCAGGCTCTGTTGTTAATTGTGTCTTCAGTAGGCTACATTGCGCTTGTTTTTAAATTGTTAAGTACTTTTATGTTATGCTTTGAAAAAATATCTATATAGCCTAATGTAAAACATATAATTAGCATTATTATTATTATTCATTGTAGCCTACTCTAGTGATAATTTAAAAATGGCGGCGCCAGGGGGGGATAGACTGTAAAAAGGGGGAACTCCCCCCTATGGGAACTCCATACAATAAAAGCATCCTTTTATAGAAAACTAATTTGATAATAATATAATATGTCTAAATTATAACGATATTTCTCAAAAATGGCAACAAAAAGAAGAAAGAAAGAAAAAAAGACTGGGTCTTGCTGGCATCACTAGATATCGGAAATGTCCTAGCCTACTTCCCATTTCTACCGTACATTTCTGAAGTCGTGATTCAAATGTTGACTTGAGAGGGTGTTCATGTCCTATTTTTAAACTAGAAAACTAACTTAGCATAATTCCGATAGCACAAGGCAGGCATGGCATTAATCCATCGGTCATTTAGGACATGTTGTTTAAAAAGTTAAAGATAAAGTATACCACATCGCACTGCTGCCCCTTAACATTTCGTGTGATGTAGTCATTTACTGTGAAGTATTTTTCATTTGTTTGTATGAGTCCTCACCTCACATTATATCCACTTGGCTGGCTCAGGTCACGTGACGTCACAGTCTATTCTTCTCCGCGCGCTAGCAGGAAGTACAGCGAGAGAGGCTCATTCAGGGATCAGCCATCGTTTAGCCACGTATTAAGCCTTTATTTTCACATTCGTGGGGTTTAGCGATATGTGCATCGTATTTATGTGACACCGGTGATTTAAAGCCTGTATTGCTCGTCTCCTACAGATTTTACATCGTCTTCTTCGGCGGGCAGACAGTTATTGACGTCAGTGCACGTTTTTATTAATATTTGTGAATCGTGTTTTGACGATTGTCATTCGCGCGCGAGCAGAATTTATGTGTAGAAAACGTAGAAAGTGTGAATGGTTTAGTATCCTTTGCTCGCCGTGACAGCCGGTTGCTATGCATTGCATGCATCTGTGTTTACAACCATGCAGCAGCATAACATGCAACTGTGCTGAGATGTCACACTGCCTTTTCTAACAGATCTCTTTAGTGTATTCAGTAGGTATGTTTCCAGTCTGTGCACCCTTCTCGTAAAATTATTTGATTTTGGAAGTATTTTGGGGGTGTTCGTTTGCTATTTTAACCTCCCACCTGCTTTCTTTGTTCTGCAAGACAGTGGTGGGTCAGAATGAACAGAAACCTCATGAAAGATGGTGCTTTCTGAGCCTTACTGGGATCATCACATCCCCCTGCCAAAACTGGGACCCTTGCACTCCAGGCTGGTCACTGCCTTTGTTGCCCTGATCTGTTTCATAAACAGCCATGATGGGGACTTTGTCTTTGATGATTCAGAAGCCATCATCAATAACAAGGTATTGACCCCTCCCTAAACCCTGGTTACTTAGTTATTTATTCAGATGTTTATTATGAAAGGAATAGTTTACCCAAAAATCTAAATTCTGATATCATTTATTTGCCCTCATCTTGTTCCAAACCCAATTCATTGGAGTTGACAATGGATGGTGACCAAGGATTGGCCATTCATTTTCATTGGATAAAACAAAACAGCGTTGACATTCTGTTTTGAGTAAATGATAAATTCATTTTTACATTTTGGGAAAAGCCCCCCTTTTAATTTTGGTCAATTGTGATCTCAACATACAAAATGTGTTGCCACCTTAGTATATGGTATGGTGTTTATACATTGTCTCAACCGATTTTGTTGTTTTGTTGATTGGCTTTTATCTCAAGTCTATTGGTTTGCAATATTTTGTGTGTATATATCTAATACTTTTGTAATATTTGCAAAATATTTAAAGAAATTATAATTTTTTCTGCTATATGATAATAAATAAATGTAAGTATTTTTGTATGGCAAGCCATTGTGATTTCTACACTTTGTAGGATTTGAATCCTGGCACTCCTCTGAGTAACATCTGGAAAAATGACTTTTGGGGAAGTAACTTAAGTAGCAACTCCAGTCACAAATCCTACCGGCCGCTGACTGTTCTGACCTTCAGGTACGTTACCACAAAGACAAAAGTGTCTTTCAATTACTGCTGTGTGACCGATGATTAACACAAGGTAATAGGCCAATTTGCTTATAGTGAATATTGTCAAACCTCTTTGCATGCATTAGATGTGTGGACTTGTAATTTTATTCTCAGTGGGAAATCAAAAGAGGTCCCTCAAGTGCTTCCTCACCAAACGCCACAATAATTGACATTAAAATTGGATGCATATATTGCTTTTTTCTTCATTTCAGAATTGTCTTTGGCATTTGACTGCTTACTGTGAGGAAACTATATAGGGGGCATAATTCATGTCCTGCATGCTGCTAATGAGAATGACATCGTTTTGCATCAGTAATGACCCGTTATCCCAACTCAACCATAAAAGTTACTCTACAACGCTGCTATGTCTGTATGCCATCATAGCTCTGCTGGTTTGTGTTTCAGAAATACAAAACTTTTGTGATCACTGTAGTCAAAGTTGGTTTTAATTATTCTGGATGTTATTTATTTTCCCAGGATCAACTACCTCTTGGCCGGTGGATTGCATCCAATCGGCTTCCACATGCTCAATGTTGCCCTCCACTGTGTTATTTCTGTGTTAATGATCGATGTGTTTGCAATATTAATTGGCGGCCTGGTTCACGATGGAAGAGGGGCGAAACTCAATCTCTCTCCGAAAGCTTCCTTCCTGGCTGCGCTCTTCTTTGCTGCACATCCAGTTCACACGGAAAGTGTAAGTAGAGTGGGAAGACGTGATTCAGCAGGCTGTCTCTGCCCGGTAAACAATCTCTGACTACAATGCTCCATATCACAATGTTCATTGATGTTGCATGAAATATACATTACAAGGCCTATGGAGAAGAAAGCTTCACGCAGCTGGTGTGCATCACATAGGTGGGCTCTACAGTCAGCCGTGGCTATTAACAGTTACCGAACGCTCGCTCTGACCTGCCACGTATGCGTCCGAGCACGGTAGAGGCTGGCGATGCTCCGGTATCTGTTCTTTAATCAGGTTCAGAAAGACCGGCCCTGGACCTGGAGGGGGTGAGGTTCAGAGAGACCACTGACTTAGGCCTACGGGATGTATCAAAGAAGGTGGCCCCAGGACTCCAGCCAGGGCCGACTGCAGTTCTGTAATGAGTGCTGCCTCCTGCCTCCACCGTTAATTTGGCACTGCCAGAAATACAGGCAATTTCACAGACGAAAGGATGTTTTTATGCTGCCCATTTTTGTCTTTAATGTACAAGCAGGATTTCATTAGTTTAGGTGTAGAATGCGTAGCTGCTATTAAAACGAATGCCCTCGGGGTGGATTTCACAGCCGTGAACTGCTTGATGATGGATGATGCTTGATGTGACAGTGTCCTTTAGCTCTCTGAAGTATATAGTTGATCTTATGAATAATCTTCTTTGTTGGGTCTTTGTCTTGTAGGTGGCTGGCATTGTTGGCAGAGCAGATTTGTTGTGTGCCCTCTTTTTTCAACTCTCTTTTCTGGTTTACTGCAGAGCGTTTCAAGGTCAGTCGATCAACTAAAGCACTAGGCTTTGTTACAGTTATATTCATTTTATTATGTTGAATTTAGTGCAATCAAATTTGAAAGGAATTTTTTAAAAAAAATCTCTTTCTTTGTACCAAGCATACTGTTTCATTTAGTTGCTCTTGAATTTTTCTCTGTAGGTGGTGATAGAAAGTTCTCTGTGCTGTGGATATTTGGCAGCATTCTTCTTTGTGCAGTAGCCATGCTGTGCAAGGAGCAAGGCATTACGGTTTTGGTGAGTGAAAATGTATACATTTGAGATCTGCAGATCAAATACAGTATATGGTATTAGCATATAAATGTTGGATAATCCCACATATATTTTTACAATACATATCCTTGATCATCTATAAAATATCCTTGTTCTTTTCTTCCGTGTCCGGAGGGAGTGAATGCTGCTTATGATATTCTCATGGTCTGTAATCTGAACATATATGAGCTTGCTCACCGGCTGCTGTCCAGGAGAAAATCAGCTGATGTAAGTGTCTTATTCACAGTCACTCTTTAGACCCAAACAAACTTTGGATTGATATATACTTTCTCTTTTACACCCAGGTTGGTGGGTTAGTGCAGAGCGGTTTGCTTATGAGGTTGGCTCTTCTCTTTCTCGGTGGTTCCTTTCTTTTGTATGCAAGATGGAGGATCATGGGAACTGGGCCTCCATCTTTCACTGAGGTGGATAATCCAGCATCCTTTGCTGAAAATGTTATCTTAAGGGTAAGCAGTCCTTTCAGTTTGGGTTTTTGAACAGCACTTTTGATTGGGCTGCACGATATTGAA